AGATCATCTGTCATCACGGCCCCAAATCTGGGTTTCCTTGGAGGGTATAATGTAGTCTCTTGAAACAGAGTTTTAAAATGCTTACTTTATTAGTGTCACAGTAGTATTGAAGTGGAATTAAACACACACACACCCAAAAAAACCCCAACAACCCTGAAGAATGGCTTGTTTTTAATGGTTAATGTCTTGTTTTTGTTTTGTTTGTTTTAGGATTTTATGGTGTTATTTTTACTCACAAGACATGTTGAGCAGGTATCTGGGAAGGTGGCACATAAATCCTCTAAATAAATAATGAAGAAATAATCATTGATGGCCTTGGGAGCTGCATACATAGGTTATGTCTGATTTGGTCTTGAGAAAACAAATTTGGACCCATAAAGTCCTAAATAGCTTTTGTTTGAGGGACTGAATTCTTTCTGGGACTGATCAAGACAGAGCTCCTTTTGGCCCAAGATAAGGGATATCACAGTAGGAGCACTGTGTAAAAGAAGATGCTCAGCTAGGTGGTCCATTGATCTGATCTAGTAGGGTCACTCCTATATTCTTATGCGAGAAAACTTATTGTCCATTGGAAGCTGTAGTTTGTATCAGCGTCTTGGTGAATGTTCCTGAGTCTTGTTCATGAAGTCCAAAGCTTTAGTATCCCTTTTTTTCTGGAACAAAATCTGATCTTTGCTTAAGCTCATTTTTAGCAGCCGTGGTTAAATGGGTATAACATCAGAGTTTTATTTCTGGTTCATCATAACTGTGCAGAATGATCAGCAGCATGGTCTCCAAGGACCTAGTATATATTTATGTTATATGTTAAGTGAATTCATGATTGGATCTTTAAACTGACTATATCTGGACATTCTGGATGCCATCTAGAGCCTCATGCTAAGACAAACAGGAGAATGTCATTGGTGAGAACAGGAAGGCTCAGTTTTTATTGTGATTAGTTCGTAAGGTACTAGGAATGGGGGTCCTTAGTCTATTGTCACAAGACTTAAAGACAGGGGTAATTTCCTGCAGGAGCGCACAGCAGCGGAGCTCCGGCAGTAAAGAGCCCAGGGGGCGGGCACATGCAACAAGCCCCGCCCCCTGCTCCCAGCAGCCCTCAGTCAGAGGACAAAGCAGAAAGCCCCGCCCCAGAGCCCCCCATCCCCCCCCGGTCCCCCGGTCCAAAACAGTCCAGTGGCACCTTTAAGACCCAAGTTTTATTCAGGTACAAGCTCTCCCTCCTCTGTGAGGACAGATCTGCATCCCCCCCCCCCCAATAGCTAGCAATCCAAAACAGTGCAGGGGAGCCTGAGCGGTGGGTGTTGCCTTCTGACCCACTTCCGGTGATGTCAGGGGGTGTGACGTATGCAAATAAGTTATGCTAATGAGTTATGCTAATAAGCTCCTGCACCTCTTTTTCTACAAAATGACCCCTGCTTAAAGAGATCTTTCCAAATCCCACTATGTGAGAGTTTTAATGGAGGATGCAAGGCCTTCAGTCTGGGACCTTATTGCTGTCTGCTCTCCAGCTCAGTGCTGATTCTCAAGAAATGCAAATATACATATACATTGAATGAAAAAAGTGGAAGACTTAAAAGGGTGAGAAATTTAACACATGAGTTAATTCATAGTAACGTTAAGTCACGCCTATTAATATCCAGTCATGCAAATAAGTTGCTAGCCCATCTGCCCGTAAAGATCTTGTTATTAATTATTGCTAGTATATCAGCAGCCTGAAAGAAAAACCAAAAGAATGATTTTTCTCCCATTTACATGAGCTTTTTTTACCTGGTCTTCAATCCTTGCTTGTTCGAATAGGTAACTGTGTACTAATATAGCTACTGTACAACTTAGTGAAAGGTGTTCATTCTATTCTGTGCGCTTCTAACCTTCCTAGCCTTCCTTTGCTACTGCACTGGTGGCCATTTACACAGAACTTAGGATGCTGCACTGGATGCTGTGTCCAGCCATGCTTCTGTCTCCTTCTCCCAAACTCCTTTCCTTTCTCCAAAGTGCTACTTCTGTATCACTTAGCAGTTTTACTCTCATACCAGCAGTGCCTATGGGCTGCTACTGTTCTGATGAGGTGGTTTGGTTGGCACCAGAACTCACCAGGATGCAAATTACTTAGGTGCCTTCTGTATGCATTCACAAAAAGAGTAAATCTGACAGACCCAGGTTTAATTCTAAGAGGAATTCAGTCTGTAGATGCAAACAGAGAGGTTGGTAACATTCCGACAGCTCTGAGTGAAATATCTCCTGCACCTTGCACCTTGCTTGATTGGGCACCTTGTATTGCACCTTGCTTGATTGGGCTTTCCTCAATGTCTGCTTGTTGTTGTTGTTGTTTGAAGGAAATGCAGTTTCATCTGATAGCACTTCAATGACATCTCAGTCCCTGCTACAGAGTAAAGACTGTTTTCAAGAATGGTTTTCATGGTTGTTCTATGAGCGAAGGGTGAAATGTGATCCAGTTAGCACCACCTAGTGACACATTATAAACATCACAAGCATTACACTGCAGCATATTTAAACAGCCAAAATGGGGAAGAAATTTGCTGACTTCAGAGGATGCATATTTAAACTGCAGTATGCACTGGGATACTGGTAAACAACCAGATGAAAACTATATATAGTTTCTGCCTTAATGCAAAGTTTAATTGAGAGGAATGTGAAAATCATAGACAAATGACAAGGGAATTATGAAGCAATTAGTTTAATAAATTGTATATGTAAAACCGCTCAGAGCCCTTAGGGGGTGAGCGGTCTACAAATCGAAAGAATAAATAAATAAATAAATAAATACAAATGGGAACCTGCAAAGACTTGCAGGAGGCATCTCACTTCCCCCTCCCCCATTATTTCCTCTTTCCTTTTCTCTTTCTAGGGCTGCCAGCCTCTGGGTGGGTGGTCACGGGAGAAGCTGAACAACCAATACAAACTATACAAACAAACGTGATATAATTACTGCTTTTATGGAAATGTTTATGTATTTACTATAAAGTTTTTTTAAACATTAATAGATACCAAAGAATTTTACAATATATATGATTCATCTATGGTCAAATAACTGTCCTTATAGTCACTCTGAACTTCTCATTGATGAGAAGTTCAGAGTGACTATATGGACAGTTATTTGACCTAAGCACTTTATTCATCATAGAGGAATCATATGTAACATTCTTTGGTATATATTAATGTTAAAAATCTTTATAGTAAATACATAAACATTTCCATAAAAGCAGTAATTATATCACACTTGTTTGTATTGGTTGTTCAACCTCTCGGTGGGGGCTGAAGAGCTCCTGGAATCACAATAGATCTCTGGAGATTTGGGGGTGGAGTCTTGGTGATTTCCAGCCCCCACCCAGAGGTTGGCAACCCTAGTTACTCTGGAGGAAATGGATGTTTTGGAGGGTGAAGTCTAGGGCATTATACCCCTCTGAGGTCCCTCCCTGCCTCAAATGCAGGCTCCCCCCCTTCAAAATCTAGGGATTTCCTAACCTCTCTCCCTCCTCTTGGCAACCCCCACATCCTCTCCCTGCCTTATTCTCTCCTTCTTAGCCATTCACCAACCTACCTTTTATCTGCTTCCCATCTTCAGCTATATTTATTCTTTATTTACTTCATTTATACCCCACCTTTCTCCACAGTGGGGACCAAAGTGGGGGACCAAAGCAGCTTGTATTATTCTCTTTTTCTCCTTTTTATCCACACAACAACCCTGTGTGGTAGGTAATACTGAAAATGTGACTGGTCCAAAATCACCCAGTCAACTTTCACAGCAAGATTGGGATCTGAACCTGGGTCTCGCAGACCCTAATCTAAAGCTCTAACTACTGTACTACACTGGCTTTCATAGGGTGGCTGCTGTTGAACAGTAGCAAGCAGCCAGGCCTACTTGAGTCATGCAGGTCAGGTGGCATCAAGTCACCCAGACGTTGCTTCCAGGCCTAGGATTGCCAACTTCCAAGTGGGGCCTGGATATCCCCTAGAATTACGGCTGAACTCTAATCTGTCCCCCTGGAGAAAATGGCTGCTTTGGAGGGTGGACTCGTTGGCATTATACCATGCTAAGCATCTACCCTCTTCAAACTCTGCCCTCTTCAGACTTCATTGCAAAATCTTCAGGAATTTCCCAACCTGGATATGGCAACTCTAGCCAGGCCTGGAAAGGGCCCACCCCCTTCTCCTGCCTTTTACTGACAGAGCCAAGCTTGGAATGTTGTGGTTGCTTAGCAACAGCCACTAAGGGAATCTGTTGCTTAAAGCTACAGGTGCTTTTTATCACTTTCAGGTTTTTTTAAGCAGCTTAGTGTTGTTTTTTTAAATTTCACATTTTTCTGCAAACCTAGGGTCCTTGTCAGGTTTGTAGAAAGATCTGTCTTGCCTGTTCACAGCTCCAGTCACTGGATTTAAGTATCCAAAGATATCCGGACTTCGCTATTACTATTATTTATGTTCACATTTGTATTAAAATCATTTTATTCTCCTGTATATTAAATATTTTGAATATGATACCAAAACAGTGGATGCATTAACAGCAAATCTGTGGAAGACAAACACCCCTTTGCCAGTTTATATCCTGTGCTGAAATTTGATACACTACAGATTTATTTTCGGTTAGTAAAAGACATCAGTCTTTGATTTGTCCCCTTGAAGTCAAACAAGAGATTTGTATGTAAGCTAATGGGAGAAGAAAGCTGCTGTTCATTTCTAAATAGCATTGTAAGCACCTGTGGTTAATATTGCACAGATGTATAATAAAAAAATTACAGCACCTCTACAGTACCAAAATTATAATGTCGATAAACATGATGCCTTTAGTTCAAGGCAGTTGAGCTCGCTAATGTATTTGGATAAGCTCGGGTAATAAATGTAAAAAGATAGACATAAAATTGTTCTTTTCTTTTGAAAAACCAGACTTTTCATACGGTATATTTACATTGCAGGGCAGAACATTATGTGATGAGCATGTGTTCTTTACAGCATCTTTTCAAATGTTGTTTTTTCCCCTTCAGGACATTTATTCAGAACAGCTGGGGATCAACCGTGTAACCTGTCCACAGTGTCGAGTGCCTTCCCAATGGTCAGCCACCCAGTCTTTGGTCTACACACAACCAGCTCAGGGCATACAGAATTTGGTGGCTTGGGGACACTTGGTACACCCACAGCCTTAGCAGCACATCCCCAACTAGCACCTTTTCCAGGTAACCTTGTATGCCAAGATGCAACCATGAATGTTCCTAAAACAAATAGGTGCTAATTTTATAAAATTAGTGATGGTAGAAGTCCAGATTCCTTTTTCTGTTCTAACCATAAGATTAGGAAGCGGTCAGTATTCAGGCTCTTCCTGGTTATAATTTATTATGCAAGTAAATGATGGCAACAGTACAAATAGATTTTTTGGGTGATCAAGTATGGTCCTCCTACAAATCATGTATTAGTGACCTGAGAAGTGCTTGTTCTTACTATCAATCAAGTGTTGCTGTTTCTACCCAAACTCTGAGATTCCCAGATGTGATTATTAAATAAGAGATGTTTAAGTCCAATAATGACATGGCAGTAAATGTTTGTTTGTTTTTTGCTGATTTATAAAATTTACTTTTATAGTACTTTCATATCTGAATTAACATAAAAAAGAACCAGAAATGCCCTATTGGTGTCGAGATCTTCAAAATTAGACTGTTGGAGCTTGGCCTGTTTTGTGAAAATCAGTCCAAATTAGTTAAAATATTGGAGATCTGAGATTTTCCATCTCTATTTTCTTTAAAAACAGCCCAAGTGGAGTAAATGGTAGATGGGAGAGGGGCAGGGGTTTACAAGGGGAAAAGGGCCTTGAAAGGGGATTAACCCTCCGCCCTTATTGCTGTAGTTCCAATTGTTTGGCAACCACCTGCTGCTTTTAAGAGAAATGAAAAGAGATGGAAAATATCATGTCTATTTTAGTCCTATTTCCCATTAATTTCAGCTTGCAAGTGACAATGACTTCAGCTTAGCTATTGCCACTGTGGTTGTAGTTCTGCATCTTGTGGTTAATTACTGGAAGCCTGACAATCCCAGTTTTAAACAAAAGTTTGTAGTTCTCATTGTTGAGAAAGAGAGGTTTAACCATGTGATGACATAAAGATAAGAAGACTAAAAGAAACAATAAAAAGGTGAACTTTGTGGAAATCTTATGATTTCTAGGTGCATATATCAATGTATTTCAGGGACAGACCAGCTTTTGGGGGTAATAATGTTAGAATGATCATGCTTAGATTAAGTGTAGCTTGTCCACCAACAGACAGACAACTTCTGCCACACCCTGAAAACAATATACATACAAAACACACCAAGGAAGTACTTCTTCACCCAAAGATTGATTAACACATGGAATTCACTGCCACAGGAAGTGGTGGCGGCTACAAGCATGGACGGCTTCAAAAGGGAATTAGATAAGCATATGGAGCAGAGGTCCATCAGTGACTATTAGCCACAAGGTATAGATAGGGGCTCTGGGGCAAGTGATGCTCTGTCTTCTTGGTGCTTGGGGGGGTCAACAGTGGGAGGGCTTCTAATGTTCTGGCCCCACTAGTGGACCTCCTGATGGCACTGGTATTTCTGGCCACTGTGTGACACAGAGTGTTGGACTGGATGGGCCTTTGGCCTGATCCAACATTGGCGTCTCTTATGTTCTTATGTTCATTAAAATATTTAAATTGACTGTGCCTCTGATATTTGTTGTTTGAGACCATGCCAAAGGCAGAGGGATAGAATTTTGCCAACCAGGGATGGTTGTACATATTTGTCAAAGTTATGGGAAAGCATTGAGAGCCAGTTTGGTGTTGTGGTTTGGAGCATGGACTAATCTGGAAGAACTGGGTTTGATTCCCCACTCCTCCACATGCAGCTGCTGGTGTGACTTTGGGTCAGTTACAAGTTGTTTCAGAGTTGTTCTCTCAGGAGCCGTGCTCGAAAGAGCTCTCTCAGCCCTTAGCCGCTCTGAGGCTCCTTCGGCTAGTGAAGGGCGGGGTATAAATCCAATCTCTTCTTCTCTCTTATTTAGAGGATGGAGTATTGTCTAACATGTTCGCACTTAGTGTTCCCATATTTCAGTTATAGACCCAATAAGATAGATAACGTAGATTATTTTGTTTTTATTTGAACAATAATGTGGTTATGGTCCAGTTGTAACTGTCTAAGAATGGCTGCAAGTGTATATGCAATTATTTAATAACCATAGAAATCACAGAGGTGAAAATTATTTTCTAGAAGTTGACCCTGTAACAGCATTCTGGTTCATTGATTTTTCTCTGTTATGCCAAATGGATTGTGCGGTTGTACCAATTTTGTCCAATTTTGTCTATAATAGGTGTTGCTGTTGGATCAGGGTATATTTGTCCTCTCAGTTTCAGAGGGTTAATAAGAAATCCTATCTTTCAGTGAGGGAGGAGAAATCCTCTTAGGTTTAAGAAAATATTTGACTTTGCTTCAGTGGCAATTGTACCTCAGGATTCTCTTAGGAGCAGTCCGTTCAGCAATGCTAATTTGCTGTAGAGCAATAGGCTTCTATAAAAAAAACCCCTACATGCTTTAACTGGTCACAGATCTTTCTGTAAGGTTTTTAAAAAATGTATAAGCTCCCGTTCTATTGATCAGTAAACTGATTATATGTAGATGGTGTGGTTCAGTTGTTCAGTTTTATATTCCAACGCTTAATATTGCTGGCCTCAAAAAATTGGATTAGGTTGCTTTCATGTTGGTACAGTATCACCTTGAATATATCCCAGGCAGGGTTTTTGTACTGCTCCTAGAATATCATCATTTGCTACCACAAATGGCAATGAATGATTTGTCATGAGATTTGATTCTTGCATACAAATCAGGATTCTAATAGTGTAGGCCTAAACAGATTTACAACCATCTAAACTCATTGACTTCAATAGACTTCAGAGGGTGTAACTCTTTTTAGGATTGCACTGTACATTGTGGTTTGAACCACAGTTCTTAATATTGTAGAATCCTGTCTTGTAGGCAAGGAATGAACCACAGTGGGCTAAATACCTTTGTTAAAACACACAGGGAAAGAAAGAAGAGAGTGCAAGATCAAGGACTTTTGAGGCTAGAGTTGGCAACTGCTGCTGGTAACTTGCTGGGAGAAATTATGGGGCAGGGATAATCTCATCAGCATCACTCTGACATGTGACATCACTTTGAGCACAAAACAGGAAGTGACATCATCATATTGGGGCAACACTGTTAAGATTTACTCCAATATCTATGGTTTAACCATAGACATTGAAGAGCCCTCCTCCCTTTTTTCCTCCACTGGTTTGTGAAGTATTAGCAGAGAACAGGGGGCTGATGCCAGGCAGTCTTCCATAGTAGCTGGAGACCTGCCCCCCCCCCCATTTGAGGCTCATTCTTGGACCAAACAAACATGGCTCGTTTTGTGACTTGAATGTAAATGTCATATATAGTAGAAACATACGTTTCAGAGATATCCCGGTCAGCAAAGTAAATAGGATTATGGTGCAGGGGGCACAAAGAACTGCTGGATTGAGCCATCTGTTCACTCTCCAAGAAAATATATCCGTGTTCTTTACAAACCCATTTTCTTCTTATTTTATTAATTTTCTGTAACAATATTAACACCGTCTCACATCACATTTGGCATTTCCTTGCACTGTCTCTCTGTTTTATTTGTATGCTTGCTTATCTTCCTCTTTCTAGTCAAAACAATTCCATATTGGGTTTCCCTCCATGTCACCCCTTTGCAGGGTGTGTGATTAGTCATCTAAAATCTGGTATTAAAACGTTGATATGAATTAGGTGAATTAATTAAATTGCCTTGCAAAAAATCACCTAGTACTAATTTCACATTAGCATAATGATAGCATACTGTTTGTTGTTGAGACCATTTCTACCTTCATTCATCACTGAACTTGATGTATACCTCTTTAGCGAAAAGAAGACTACATATGGATTTTGAATGGTATCACCTCTTAAGTTTTCCTGGTTTCCTTTGGAAATTTGCCATTTTTAAAAAAATGAAAAAGGTATAATTGCACTTAAGATTCTTTACAGGACCAGTTTCTAAAATGAGAAGATCTTGTCATCTGTTCCTCAGACTTTCCTATGTAGATTATTCCCCACTGGATATTTTCTAGTGCTCTGCCCAATCTGTGTTTTTAATCAAGGTGGGTAATAGAGATCCTGTACTTTCCCTCAGAAGCTTACTTGAACATTTGTGCTCCAGGTACACTAAGGAATGCTTCTGAGGTGAAGTTTTTTTAAAAAAACAAAAACCCAAACTTTGTATGTTTAAAATTTGTTTCGTTGCTGATAATTAAGTTAATCAAAAGTTGCTAAAACAGTTCTTGAAAAATGATTGCATTCAAGTCTTAGTTGCAAGAACCAGCATTTTTCATAGATAAATCTCTCTTACCATCAAAGCATAATTGCCTAATTTGTTTCAATTTTTATACATTTTGAACAATCTGTAATGTATGTAACTTAAGTCAGTTTGATCTGTATCAGCAGCTTTCATGCCTGTGGTTTTCTTTGGACTTTCAAGTGGCATGTATCTAATCATCCATGGACTTCACGGACTGGGACTTCAGCACTTTCTTGCTGCAGCCCACTGAGCCTGCTGAAATTTTGCTCCTGGGGGCCAGGGGGGTATGTACTGTGAGGCGGATTATTGGAAATTGCTGGCCCCTGTTCTCAAACAGAAGTGCCATTCCGTTGGAGGGTCTGTGTGACTGAATACATGCCAGCATAATTCTCCTTCTAAAATATTAAATGATAGCCTGTTTCTGTTAAGGCTCAGCTTTCTATAAAAAGAGCTTCTATTAAACTCAGGTTGTGATCAGGCAAGCACTTCGATCCATTGTCATTTCTCCTCCCAAACGGATTTGAAGTGCTCGATCAGACAGCAACATCTGGCTCCTGTCCTGCAGTCGTCAACCTCCCGTGCTCACCCCTGACATTCCCAACACTGCAGAAAGTTCGGTCTTTAGGGATCCTACTGGTTTCACAGCACTTCTGCTGATGTCTGATCACTCTTTTGTGGGGTAAAGCCTTTTGGGAAGTCAGATCGCTCACTTCCCCCAAGTTACCGATGTGCGCATAAGTGGCTATGCGCTGCCAAACAGTACTTGTGTGTTTTGTTGCCCCCTCCCCATCCATTCGCCCCTCTCCCCCCCAGCTGGAGAGAGCCCCCTCC